TTATAACATAACCAAAGTAAAGCGCGCGCTCTGATTGGTCAATTTAGTGTCCCCCATCAGCCCATGGCTGTACGCTGCTGACATGAGCAAATGAAAAGACTATTTTTCCGCGCGCGCTTGTTTTTCTGGTCGCGTAAGATTTGTTAAATAAAAGGGAACTCTTTAGCTACAATGTATCAATGTTATGTTATAAAACAAATGGTAAACACCACAGCGTACACTATTGAGTTATGGATGCACTTGGGAGGTTTGCTAAGCACTCAAGAAGCTAGAGTCGCTCTCGGCTATCGCCTCGAGCGACTCTTACGCTTCTTTCGTGCTTAGCAACCTCCCGCATGCATCCATAACTCAATAGTGTACGCTGTGGTGTTTACCATTTGTTAATTAGATACTTACTAGACGATTTACAAAATTAATCAACTACATATTGATTTGTTTTATCATTTGAGTTCACAAATGAATGTAAATTGGCCACGATAGACAGTTTTTAAAGCTTACGTTTGAAGTGTTAGCTCTTTGTCATTCACTCTGATGAAGGGCTTAATGAAGCTTGAAACATTAGCTGGTTACAAGTGAAACACAACTAGAGAGGTCTGGAGTAAAAGTGAGATGATCACCTGTGCAAGCTTTTTTTGATCTGCTGCCTTTCCTTTGGCTTTTAGCGTCTATAAAAGAAACCAAATTAAGTCTCAGACAAGGTAGATCAGCAATTTTTATTCTTCTCTGAGGTGAAATAGACAGAAGAAAGTAAAGGATTCAGAACTACAGATTTCTCTACACAGGTACATTCAACAGAGCTTTTTGTCACTGTTGTCCTGAAATCATCCCAACAAAATTAAAAACTTCAATGACTGTTTAAAATAAATTTCGTAACCAATGTGCCACTGATCAGCAAAACATGACCCACTGTTTTCTACCTATAAACTGTAATTCAGAAGTTTTTTTTTTGGTATGTCAAAACTATATCAACAAACACTTGCCTCAAGATTATGTCTGTATCGATCATAGTCCACAAGTTTTCTACCTCGTTTATTTATTCTGGCCTGGAAAGAATAAAAAAAATAAACACATCCTTCCAGAACAATCATGTGAACACATCACTTTTATTTTTAAAGAAAGAAATCAAATACAAATTTTGTCTTACATATTGAATGCCATCAAGGCAATCAAGGATCATTATATATGTTGCAGAAGTCAAGCATATTTTTGCTCAACCTTTTCATTTAACACCCTTGGTAACACGAGTAGGGCAAATACATAATTATGAGAGAATGAAAACTTATACCTAAACTGACAAGAGGGAAAAAGATTTATCTTTATTAACAGTGCATATCTTTACAGGCATTTAAAAAAACAATGAAACTGCTTCTAGAAAGTGGATGTTAACATTGATCCACAGGACTACATTTATACAAAAGATATGACAAATGACTCAACACATATTACCCTACATCATGCAATGTTATGAACACATCAACTATCCGTATATAATTTACAACTAATCGAACATACAAACACTCACAGCTAATAAGTATGTTGACACAATACACTCGAAATGGTACAACTTACAAGAAGTTCTGTTGTTACAATACGATAAACTTCAAGTGTGCATTAACCGAAGATACCTTTATATCGGGAAACTGGCTCTGGTATGCGGTAAGAGGAATAATAACTTCATCGTCCATTTTTTCTACAAGTTCAGACCACTGGCTGTGTAATTCCTGAATAAATTGTTGAGGGAAAAGACACAGTTATTTAAATATACTGGTATTGAAAAAAACTGTAAGTAATTACACTACTTTGGGGCCAGTAAAATGGCTCTCTGCTCCTGCGAAGGTGTCTACGGTGTCTGCGGAGAATTCTTGCGTCTTCTGTCCTAACATTATAGGAGCGTATACCAGTCTTTTAAGCAAGACCCTCACAACAACATTCACCCTCTCCACAGGAAGCCCAAACCCCTCAATTAGG